AGCGGCCCCTCTTCCTGGGTCTGCATCCCACCGTGACACCACGCGCCCCCCACGGCCAGGTTAGTGTCCGCGACCCAGAGCAGGCTCAGATTAGAGCCCGCAGCGTAGAGCTGCTGATCGGGGCTGATCACGGGGGTCAGGCCCGAATGGAGCAAACACAGGATGGTCGCGCACCTCCACAGGGCAGGGAGAGCCCCAGCACCCGGCACCAAATACCCAGAGCTGGCGCCAATGCCCAGGGCTGCCCCGGGGCCCAGGGACCCGGCCTCCTGAAGGAACACAGTGGGAAACAGATTGGAGGGCGAAACCCCCGCTCCTGCTTTATGGGAAGATCCCTTGATCGACGGCTAACTCGGGGCTGATCCGTGAGCTGGCTCAAGGACCCGTCAGGCCCAGGTGAGGGATGGTCTGAAGCGTCTCCAGAGGCTGATACGGGTGGTTATAAGCCCCCTGCTGAGCTGCTGGACTCTGTGACGACTGATCCCCTGGTCACTAAATCAGGGGTAGAGAAAAGCCACAGAAGCGATTCAGGGCGGGCGGAAATGCCTTGGAGCGAGCGACTGGCAGAGCTCGATGTGTTGAGCTTCTCGGAGCTCTGTGTGAGTGTGTCTGTCTGATAACAGCGCGTCAGCCCCCACGTGGGGAGATAACACCAGGCCTGGGAGCAGAGCAAGGCCGAGCGAGAAGGAACGGCTGGAAGTTCAAGGCAGACACGTCCCAGTTAGACAAAGGCCCAGATTTGTACCAGCCAGGGTGACCAGCTGCTGGGCGAACGCCCGAGGGCAGGGTGGATCCCCCGTCTTGGATCCAGGCTGGGGCCTGTTCCTCGAGCACAAGTGACTGGGCTCCATACTGCAATAGCAGGGGATTCTCTGGCCTGCACTAGGCAGGAAGCCGGACTAGTTGGTCAAATGGCCCCCGCTGGCCAAGTCTGTTAATTATTAACCGTTTACAGCGACTCTGAGGGTGGCGCCTTCCCGTTCCTGTCACCGAATCAGCTGGCGCTGGCCGAAGGTTACTGACAAGGCGCACAAAGGGAGGGGGATTAGCAGACGGGTTCAGGGGTGACAGGCACACGGGGCACAAAGGACGCGGCAGGACCTGTTCTTGGTGGTTATCGGCCACCCACTGCCCTGCCGCTCTGCCCATGACAACAGATCCACCCGGCAGCCGGGTGCAGGGATTCTCTGCTCTGAGCTCCTGCTTCCCCAGCAAGTTACCCATTAACCGCCCCCGCCTGCTTATCCTATAACCTGCCAGACCCCGACTTGTGGGGAGGCGGGACCCGGGCTCACAGAGGGAGGGCTCCAGCTCCCTGGTGACCAGGGTGGGGGCCCAGGGCATATGGACGAGAAAGATTGGGGGGCTTGGAGACTCTGTGGGGCCGCAGTTCCATACCCCCCATAGAGTATCTCACTCTGGGACCCAGGGTGGGTCTAGCCAGGCACCAAGGACCCAGCCGCCCCCCACCCCAGGGTGACACAGCTGAGAGTGACCTCGCCAGCCTCCCTTCCCCCGGTCAGCCAAGCGCCCCTGCCAGGTGAATGGGGGAGGGAGGCCGAGGGCAGCGTCTCTGCTGTGGAGCAAGGACCCCCCACCCCCGCTGCTCTCCCAGCTCTTCCCATCAGACCCCGCCCAGGGTTCCCACCCCAGACTCAGCCCATCGGGGGGCCCCACGCTCCCTCCCTGCATCCGGCCAGACGCTCCCCAGGAGAACAGGGGTTTGCAGCTTCCCAGCCCCGGCCGTGCTGCAGGGCTTCTGTGCTACGGGGCAAGGGGTCGGGCTGGGGGGTTCTGGGGGCAGGCAGGGGCTGTCAGGCTCCAGCCAGACGTGCTTCGGCTGGGGGGCTGGCAGGGCTGTGTGGCCTGTGCTGGAGAACTGCCCTGGGGCAGAGCTACCCTACACCAGGGATGGATTTGGTCCATTGTGTTTTAGCAGGTTGATCTGTTACCTGGATTATGGTAACACACAGTGGACAATTGTTCTGGGCGCTGCTCAGACCCCAGCTGAGATCAGGGGCCCGTCACGCCGGGCACCGCCCAGACCCCGACCCAGATCAGGGCCCCTCGCGCTGGGCACCGCCCAGACCCCGACCCAGACCAGGGCTCCGTCGGGCCGGGTGCTGCTCAGACACAGCGAGACGGCCCCTGCCCTGAAGGGCTCCCAGTCTAGTCGGCCAAAGGCAGGATCGCTCTCCGTGTTACAGCTGGGAACCGAGGGCTGGAGAGCGGCAGGGACTGGCCCAAGGGCACCCAGGGAGTCAGCGGCAGAGCTGGGAATCGAACCCAGGAGTCCGGGCTCCCACAACCACAGAAAGATGAAACTCCAGGTTCTTTGCTGAGTCCCACGGGGCAGCAGGCCCAGGGGGCAGTCGATGGGCACACAGAGCAGGAAGGTTCCCTCCCAGGGAAGCGGCGCAGAGAGATCTCCGGGGTTACCCAGGAGAAAGCAGACCAGGCCAGAGGAGGCTGGAGCCCGGAGCCCAGATGCCCCGGTGAGGGGCCCGACAGAGCAGGGGGAGCCGGGAGGCTGAGGCGCAGCTGGGGATACTCTCAGAGCGAGTCGATGGAGGTGAGGTCGCTGGTGCTGACCTGGCTGGAGGCTTTGCACGACCAGGCCCTGGTGTGACTGCAGGTGACGCTGGCCAGGGTGAGGGTGCGGCTGTCCGGGATCAGTGCCAGGCACTCGCCCAGCCAGGGGGCTGCCTGGCCCTCAGCCAGCCTGGTGCCGGGGCAAGGGGAGGACACGCAGACGAGAGCTACGGTGTCAGCGAACTCCACCGGGCAGGGGCTGCGCACCCCGCCTGGGGCAGAGCCAGCAGAAGGGGTGGACGGGACAGAGGGCTATGGGGGGGCAGTGCTCTCCCCTCCAACACCTGGCACGAGGGGTCCAGCCGCCCTCGCACCATCTCAGGATCCGCACAGGGACACGCAGGAGCCTGCCCCCCCCCCGCCCCCCTCTGAAAGCAGATGGGCCGGCTGCACAGAGACACAACTTCTTTCTGTGGCTACTTCCCTGGGCAAGCAGCTGCTGGGAACGGGCCCCATGGTGATTAACCAGGGATGGGGAGACCTGGCAGTCACCCCCCAGAGCTCCCAGGGGTCCCCCATCATCAACAGCAGCAGGGCTCCCTCTGTCCCCAGTTATCGTGTGTGTGTGTGGGGGGGGGGGGTAGAAAACACAAACAGGCCCCACGTGCCCCTGGAAACTGAGGCACAACGTGACGACAGCTCCTGGCTTCCAAACAGTGATGGGCACTGGCTCTATGGTGGCACGGGGGGGGCTCCTGCACCCCCGATCCTTGTCCCACAGCCCCCGTCAATCTCCCGATCCCACCCGCACTCCCACTGGGGACTGGGCAGCAGCGCTGGACTGAGGCAAGTGGGACCAGGATCAGGTCCTGTGAGCGTGCTCCTCCCCCCAAAGTGGGAGGGGAACTGAGGCCGAGAATCACATGGTGCAAGCCAGGGGGCGGGGTTTGCACTAGGGTGTGCGAAGATCTTTGCACCGATCACACTGTAAGATGGATTCCAGTGGCAGGGGAGCAGGGTGTGCTAGAGAGAACCGCCCCAGAGGGGACAGCAGCCCATGGACACCTGGGGATGCAGGGGCTGTGGGGGGCCCAGAGTCTGGGGCGGGAACCACCAGCCAAATACAGAACCTTGATCTCGCGCCCTGGTGCCCCGATCCTGGCCCCAGGTGAGGACACACGGATGGGGCTGGGGGAGCGTCCCAGAGAGCCCCAGCTCCCCATGGAGCTAGAGGGAGAAGGGGTGAATCTGCCCCTTTCAAATACCCCAGCGCTCAAGAGTGGGTGTCACACCAGCACTGGTCACACACAGGGAGCGGGGCCCTGACACTCCCTGGCACAGATGTGCCTCCGAACCCCCAGCACAGACCCCCTTCCCCAACCCGGACTCCCCCCCAGCATGGGACACCACCCCCTCACACCCAGCCTGGACCCTGCTCCCATGCCCTGAAACCACGCCCCCTCCACTGTGCCCCGGGCCAGCCGTTTCCCTCCCCCCAGCGCCAGGGGCCACGTCCCAGAGCGCCATGAACAGGGACTTGTGATGGTGCAGCCTGTCCCCCTCCCCCTCCCCACGCCCCCGCCTGCAGCCCGTCCTCCCCCGGGCAGAGCCATCAGTGCCAGCCCCCCCGGGGCAGCACGACCCGGCTCTGCCATGGAGACGCTTCTCCCCCGGCAGGTTAATGCTCACTCAGGCTGGCAAGGCAGAGATGCCGGGATGGGGGGAGACACTAGGGGGGCCCGGAGAGGCTGTGGTGGGCAGGAGGCAGTGGGGTGGGAGGGCACTGGGATACCAGGATGGGGTGGGGGGTGCCAGGGACACCAGGGGGAGCTGGAGAGGCTGGGACAGGCAGGGGGACACTGCAGACACCAGGACGGGCTGCGGGCACCAGAGACCCTGGGGGGAACTGCGGCCCCGGAGCTTGACCCCTCCGTGTCCAGAGCAGGGCCGATGCAGGTGGCATGAGGGAGAGCTCCCCCCACAACACACATAGCCCCCCTCACCACAGTGTGCCCCAAACCCCAGGGGATCTCAGGGTCTCTGGCCCAGCCCTTGGCCCCTTTGCCCTTGCTGCCAGTGAGGGGCTGGATCCTACTCAGGGGCCAGAAACCGAGCTGGGACCCAGCAAATTCATTTCACCCTGGACCCTGAACGGGCATCGGTGGGAACGGCGGGTTCTGGGGGGTGCTGGGAAGCCCAGGGATCCCCCTATGCCCAGTGAGGCTCAATCCCACACTGCTGGCATGTCAGGGAGAGCCAGGATGGGGGGGGAACCAGAGCCCTACATTTTTGGGGGGCACCATCTCCCAGGAGAAGCAGGGGGCAGGGAGTCCCAGGCTACCCCAGGGTGTCTGTGTTTGGGGGTGGGTTCCCCCCATGTCCGAGCCAGGCTCATCCCCGGGGAGAGGCCCAGAGCCCATCGCTGGGGCGGGGATGGGGACGGGGCAGGGCCCGGGGGTGGCACTTACCAGAGACGGGCAGATGCACCGTGGCGAGGCCAGGGCTAGTCGGGCTCTGAATCTGCACCATGTAGCTCCCGGTGTCATTGAGCCTTAACCCCGCGATGTGCAGGGCGCAGTCCGGCCCCGCTGTCTCCCGCCCCGTGTGGGCCGGGCCGGGGGTCTGGACAGGGGGTGTTCCTGGGTAGTAGGTGAGGATCCGGGTGTTTTCATCCGCGGTCGCTGATCGGAACCAGCTGCAGGTCCGCAAGTCCTGTGGCGGATTCTGGGGGGCCAGGCTGACGCCCCCTCCCACCGCGGGGCTCGGCGGGGTGAGGACGATGGTCACCGGGGTCTGGGCCGGCGCCGGCTGGAGGCAGGAGCCCAGGACGGAGGCTGCGGGGGAAGGAGAATCTCAGCTGGGCAGCGAGGGGCCGGGCCGCGGGGGGTCAGTCGGGGTCTGGGGGGGACACAAGCAGCGAGCGCCCGCCCAGGGGGGACCAGCCGCCCGGCTACACCCGGCCAGAGAGCGCAGGGCCCGGGGAAGACCCTGGGCCGGTCCCTGCCCGGCCTCCAGACCCAACCCCCGGCCGGGGGAACCGCCCCGGGCTCCAGCCGTCGCTCCCCAGTCGCAGAGCAGAGGGCGGGGTGCGGATCGGGCGGGGGGGGGGCAGGAGCTGCCGACGGCTCCATGGAGATGGGGGGTATCCCCAAAGCCGCTGAGAGAGTCAAACATGTGACCCCCCCGGCTCTGACACCCCCAGGTCAGGGTGGGGTTAGAGCGCGGGGTAAGTGGGGGAGGGCTGGCGCCCCCATCCCACTGGGACAGGAAAGAGGGGGGATGAGCTGGGGCGGGGGGGTGTCCCCTGGGACGCAGCTACGGGCAGGGAAATCTGGTGAGAAAACGCCCAGAGCCCGGAGGGTGCAAATCGGAGCTGTCCATGGGACACAATATCCCCCCTCTGGGGGCTGGGCCCCAGGAGACAGACAGAGAGAGGGGTGGGGTGGGGGTAGGTAGGTGTGTGGGGATGGACAGGCAGGCAGGCAGATTACAGTCGGGTGATTGGTCTCCCTGAGGCCAGGATCCGACCAGACACCCAAGAACAATTCAAACACCAGCTGTCAGGCAGACGGGGGCGGGGGTAGGCTCCCTGGGGGGCCACAGGGGACCCCGTCCTGGGACTAACACCCCCAAAGGGGTGACCCCCACCCTCTGCCCCAAAGCTGCCAAGCCCGCCCCCCATGCCCTGCTCTCACCTGCCAGCAGCAGCCCTTTCCAGGGGCCGCCCCATGCGGGGGGGTCCCAGCTCCCGGACAGACGCCCCATGGCCCTTCTCCTCCCCGGGGATCGCTGCCTGCCGTGGCCTTGGAGAGAGCCGAGTGTGGGTGCCCCGCCGGACGCCTGGGTTCTCTGGAGCAGCTGTGCCAGCTGCCAGGGCTCCCTGACTGAGACTCTGGCCAGGCAGGGTGGGGAGGAGACAGCTCCGGTCCCGTCCTCCTCCCCCTCTCTGGGGGCAGGGCTAACTCCGAGCCAGCCTGTGACGAAGTGGGACTGTTCTTAATGTTTCCTCTGAATAGTGTGGGGGTGCCTCAGTTTCCCCTAGGCAGTTCTTAAGTATCTAGGGGGTGGGGTAAGGGTGTATGATCATTGCAGAGCCCTAGAGGGCAGGTGTGTGCAGGGGTCTGGACACAGAGAATGGCCGACACCCTGTTTCCTGGCAACTGGTGCCCTGGGCCCTTCCCCCCCTGCAAGGTGAGAGCTGAAGGGTTGGAGAACAAAGGAATCCGGTGACCTCCTGGCCCGGGAAAGGGACAAAGCCCAGAGGAGTGGGGGGCTGGAGGGAGTTTCAGTTTGGGGCTGGCTGGAGACAAGGAGTGAAGGGCAGACGGGGTTGTCTGGCTCACTGCCCCCCAAAATGGACCCAGCTGAGGGGTCCTGTTCTCTGCACCTACAAGCTCTGTGTAAGACCATGTTCCTGTCGTCTAATAAACCTCTGTTTTACTGGCTGGCTGAGAGTCACCTCTGACTGCAGAGTTGGGGGGCAGGACCCTCTGGCTTCCCCAGGACCCCGCCTGGGCAGACTCACTGTGGGAAGCGCACGGAGGGGCAGAGGATGCTGAATGCTCCGAGGACAGACCCAGGAAGGGGGAAGCCGGGTGAGCTGCGTGTCCTGCAGACAGGCTGCTCCCAGAGAGGAGACTTCCCCAGAGTCCTGACTGGTTTCATGGGGAGCAGTTCCAGAGCATGGGACTCCGTGACACAGCCCCTCCCACCTGCCCAGGTGTTTGTGTCCCTGCACCTGTGGGTCCCGCTCTAGGGCAGGGGCAGCTGGGAGCTGTGCAGATGTGTCGCCCCAGCGCAAAAAGAGATACTGGAATTGGAAAAGGTTCAGAAAAGGGCAACAAAAATGATGAGGGGGATGGAAGGGCTGCCATGTGAGGAGAGATGAATAAGAGTGGGCCTTTTCAGCTTGGAAAAGAGACGGCTAAGGGCGGATACATGCAATCATGACTGGTGTGGAGAGAGTAGATAAGGACGTGGTATTTACTCCTTGTCACAACACACGGACTAGCGGCCACCAACTGAAACTAACAGGCAGCAGGTTTAAAACAAACAAAAGTAAAGTATTTTTTCACACAACGCACAGTCAACCTGTGGAACTCCCTGCCAGAGGATGTTGTGAAGGCCAAAACCATAACAGGGTTCAAAAAAGAACTGGATAAATTCATGGAGGACAGGTCCACTGATGAATGGGCGACAGGGGATGGATCACTGGGCGATTCCCGGGTCTAGTCATTCCCTCGGGCGCACCCGGCACTGGCCACTGTGGGCAGACAGGACACTGGGTAGATGGACCTTTGCTCTGACCCAGTCGGGCCGCTCTTCTGTTCAGTGCCGGGTCTCGGGGATCCCGCAGGGGACCCTGCACGCTGTGGCTGGCCCAGATCGGACCGGCAGAGAGTCACACTCAGCACAGGTGTGTCAGCACATGGGGCCACACTCACAGAGAGACACACTTGCCCAGTCTGGGTCTCTGCAGCACCCGGTACAATGGGGGGGTGGGAGGCCCAATCTCTCTTTGTGCAGTGACCAGAGCGATGGGGCCTGACCTTAGCCGGGGTCAGTGAAACGCCCAGCACAATGCGGAGCCATATCTCCATCAGGGTCTGTGCAGCGCCCGGCCCCACCATGGGGCCCCGATCTCAGTCCGGGGGGGTCTGGGCAGCACCCGGCACCACGGGGCCCCGATCTCAGTCCGGGGGGGTCTGGGCAGCGCCCGGCACCACGGGGCCCCGATCTCAGTCCGGGGGGGTCTGGGCAGCGCCCGGCACCACGGGGCCCCGATCTCAGTCCGGGGGGGTCTGGGCAGCGCCCGGCCCCACCACGGGGCCCCGATCTCAGTCCGGGGGGGTCTGGGCAGCGCCCGGCCCCACCATGGGGCCCCGATCTCAGTCCGGGGGGGTCTGGGCAGCGCCCGGCCCCACCATGGGGCCCCGATCTCAGTCCGGGGGGGTCTGGGCAGCGCCCGGCCCCACCATGGGGCCCCGATCTCAGTCCGGGGGGGTCTGGGCAGTGCCCGGCCCCACCACGGGGCCCCGATCTCAGTCCGGGGGGGTCTGTGCAGCGCCCAGCACCACGGGGCCCCGATCTCAGTCTGGGGGGGTCTGGGCAGCGCCCGGCCCCACCACGGGGCCCCGATCTCAGTCCGGGGGGGTCTGGGCAGCGCCCGGCACCATGGGGCCCCGATCTCAGTCTCGGGGGCTGAGCAGCGCCAGGCATGATGGGGTGCTAATCTCCCTCTGGGGGTTCTGGGCACTTCCCGGCATGACGGGGCCCTGATCTCACTCGGGGTCTGTGCAGCGATGGCGCGATGGGCCCCGATCCCGGTGGGGTCTCTAGGCGCGCTGTGACAGACACATTCGTGCTGTAACCGGCCGGCCCCCGTGCCCCAGGCGACGCCCAGGGGCTGGCCAGGCCCAGACTCGCCTGGGATGGTTCTGTGCTGAGTCACACAGCGGGCACGGTGCTGTCCGGTGGGAGGGGCCCTGCATGGGGGTGGGGGGGGCAGGATCTTCCCCCCTCCCCCGGCTGGGGGCCCTGGGGTTTTGTTTCCAGGGAACCGGAGGGGTGGGGGGGTTCCTCCCATTTCAGTTCCCATGCACTGACCCCCCACCCCCAACGCGTGACGTGTCTGAGCCCAAAAGTCCCCTGCTCCAAATAGGATCCAGCCCCAACCCCCGGGTGCCCCTGCCACCCCACCCCCAGCCCTCCGGGTGTCCCCAGCTCTGCAGGCTCCAGGCCCCCCCATGCCCCACCTGGGAAGCCCAGCCCCCCTGAGTGCACCCTGGGGCACCCACTGCCCCTCATGCCCCCTGCAGTCTTCCCACCCCTGGCTGAGGCAGCCTGCGCCAGCTGGCGGCTGGCCCCAGACTCCGGGTGGCACCGGGACCGGGTGGGGGGGTTCCCTCTGGGGGGTTATTTGCTCTGTGCCCCACGCCCTGGGGAGGGGGAAACAGGGGTTCAGATCCATCCACCGATCCCCTCCAGGGAGCACAGCGGACCCCTAGCCTGGGAACCCCCCGAACCTGCTGCTGCAGAGACACCTGGAGCCACAGTCCCACAGCGCCACCCAGGGGTGAGAGGGAGAATGGGCACGAGGGGGGGCGGCACCCAGGGGGGAGAGGGAGAATGGGCACGAGGGGGGTGGCGGCACCCAGGGGGGAGTGGGAGAATGGGCACGAGGGGGTGGCGGCACCCAGGGGTGAGAGGGAGAATGGGCACGAGGGGGTGGCGGCAGCCAGGGGGAGTGGGAGAATGGGCACGAGGGGGGGCGGCACCCAGGGGGGAGAGGGAGAATGGGCACGAGGGGGTGGCGGCAGCCAGGGGTGAGAGGGAAAATGGGCACGAGGGGGTGGCGGCACCCAGGGGGAGTGGGAGAATGGGCACGAGGGGGGTGGCGGCACCCAGGGGTGAGAGGGAGAATGGGCACGAGGGGGGTGGCGGCACCCAGGGGGGAGAGGGAGAATGGGCACGAGGGGGGTGGCGGCACCCAGGGGGAGAGGGAGAATGGGCACGAGGGGGGTGGCGGCACCCAGGGGGGAGAGGGAGAATGGGCACGAGGGGGGTGGCGGCACCCAGGGGGGAGTGGGAGAATGGGCACGAGGGGGGTGGCGGCACCCAGGGCGTGGGGTTTATACTGTGTCCCTCCTGGATCATCGAGCGGGTTCCCTGTCTCGCCCTGGGCGGGCCCTGTGTTCCCCCAATGCAACTCCTGGGGAACAGGGTGTCCTAGGACTCCTGGGTTCTAGTCCAGCTCTGGGAGGGGAGCGGGGGCTAGTGGGTTAGACCCGGGGGTGGGGCTGGGGTCCAGGACTCCTGGGATCTAGTCCAGCTCTGGGAAGGGAGTGGGGGCTAGGGGGTAGGACCGGGGGTGGGGCTGGGGCCAGGATCTGGGATCTAGTCCAGTCTGGGAAGGAGTGGGGGCTGGGGAGGCGGGGGTGGGGGGAACTCCTGGTTCTATTCCAGCTCTGGGAGGGGGGGGGGGCTAGCCCCGGGGGTGGGGCTGGGGGCGGACTCCTGGGTTCTATTCCAGGCCCCTTTCTCTCCCCCGGGGGGGGGGGGCCGGGGTGCCAGGAAGGCTCTGGAATGGGGAAGCCCTGGGGCACTTGCACGCTCTGGGAATTGGCCCAAAAGTCACCGTTCTGCACTAATCCTTCCTGCTCGGTTCCCATCAGTCATCGGGGTGACAGGACAATGGGTCCCTCCCGCTGGCCCAAACCACAGCCAATGGGCGCCAGGCTGGCAGCCCTGGGGGTATAAAGGCTGCGCGAGCCCCAAGCAGCGCTGCCAAAATGGACCGAATCCTGTGCCTCCTCCTGCTGCTGCTGTATGTAACCATCACAGCCTGCTCGCCCCATGTGCCAGGTGAGAGGGGACGGGGCCCTGTGTAAACAGCCCCCGCGCCCCACCCCAGAGGGGCTGCACCTCAGCACCGGACAAGGGGGTCCCTGTGTAAACAGCCCCCGCGCCCCACCCCAGAGCCAGCTGCACCTCAGCACCGGGCAAGGGGGTCCCTGTGTAAACAGCCCCCGCGCCCCACCCCAGAGCCAGCTGCACCTCAGCACCGGGCAAGGGGGTCCCTGTGTAAACAGCCCCGCGCCCCCACCCCAGAGCCAGCTGCACCTCAGCACCGGACAAGGGGGTCCCTGTGTAAACAGCCCCCGCGCCCCACCCCAGAGGGGCCCCCACCCCGACAGGGGCCTGCACCTCAGCACCGGGCAAGGGGGTCCCTGTGTAACCAAGCCACCCCCGCACCGGGGCCAAAAAACCCCCCCCCCCACCCCAGAGCCAGCTGCACCTCAGCACCGGTCAAGGGGGTCCCTGTGTAAACAGCCCCCGTGCCCCACCCCGAGGGGCCCCTCACCCCAGCAGGGGCCCCCCCGCCGCTGCACCCTCAGCACCGGGCAAGGGGGTCCCTGTGTAAACAGCCC